CTGAAAAGACTCAGCTGAGGGGCAATTAACACGGTGAAGTAAAGTTTGGACCCTCATTTTCATTCTCTCTCTCTCTTCCTCTGCGCCCACAGTGGAGAGGGGGAATGCTTGCATTTTCACTTATTTGGACATCAGTCAATCAGTCTTTTATTAATCCATCCTTTGTAGACAAACAGACTTACAGTCACGTTCTAATCCTTTTTAAGTTGCTTCTTTGGAAGCTATCTGGGCCATAAATTACCGCAAGTAAATTTCTTTTGTTGGACAGCAAGTGCCATTTTGAGTCAAGGTCATTATTGTCATTGTTGTCATGACTGTTATTATAATTAGGACTTGAACGTGTTAGAAATCCCATGATGGTAACAAGACATTGCTTGTTGTATCTAATTTCAAAATCGTTCAATTCACACTGATTTGGGCACAGTTATTAAAGAAAGAATTATTATAGAAATCTCACTCTACCCCCATCCTGTCTTCACAATGGTTTCTGGTTTTATTTTAAAAACAGTATCATGTTGCCAGAACCTTAAAGCCTACATCCTTAATGCTTATGTGAAATGGAACTACCTTTGATTATAGTCGGAGAAAATTGACCTAGCAGACAGACAACCTGGATTTCAACTTGCAAACTACAATAGTCACATTTCTGCATCTCTAATTCTTTCAGAAACATTTATCTTTGGTATGCTATATCCTCTTGATGATTTACTTCGCTTGTGATATAAAATAAGACGAAAGATAAGGAATAATATAAATAAATTTGGGTTTCCAAATTTCCTGATGGTAGATAAATCTTAATGTCATCGTAAATTTAAGAGTTATAAGAGTGGCTTGGTGCCTGTGGCTCAAGTGCCTGGGGCACCAGCCACATACACCTAGGGTGGTAGGTTCGAATCCAGCCTGGACCTGCCAAAAACAACAATGACGGCTGCAAGCCCAGTATTGTGGCAGGTGCCTGTGGTCCCAGCTATTTGGGAGGCAGAGGCAGGGGACTCACTTGAGCCCAGGAGTTGGAGGTAGCTGTGAGCTGTGATGCCATGGCACTCTACCCAGGGGGACAGCTTGAGGCTCTGTCTCAAAAAAAAAAAAAAAAAAAAAAAGAGTTACAAGAGTGAGAAGAAAAAAATCTGGCAAGGACTGAGTGACATTTCAGATGGAGCAAGCAAACGATTCATGTGGCTTTCCCCTCCCTCACTTCACATGTGTTTGGTCCAGTAGGCCTGATGCTGCATGGTGAGTTCTCTGCTGATTGTGGTATAATTTCAAACTTGGAAAAGGACCTCGAATGTGATTTCCACTGTTTGTTGTCCTTGTCCTTCCTGCAGCTCCGGAGATCATCTATTCCATTTCCCATTTTTATACTGCGTAGGACTGAGGTAAAGTCCAAACAACAGAGTGAAACGAGAGAAAAACAGAGGGCAAACTGCTCACCTTGGGGGGCCCAGAAAGGCGAAGGAGACACAGAGATAAAAAGCAGATCTTTATTCCATGTGGCCCTTATGCTTTGCACAAGTAACACTGAGACATACTTCCTGATCTTTTCTCTACTGGGAAAAGAAGTGAAGAGAGAACATAAAAGGGGGGGGGGCAGGCAACGGAGTTCATTCATTCACCTATTTATTCAATCAACTAATATTTTTTGAGTGCTTGTTAGTGACAAGTACCAAGGCTGGTTTTGGGAATTTGAAGGTGAGTTACCTTCATGGTATTTCAGTCTAGCAGGGAGGAAGATGTTTAAACCAGTAATTAAAATCTCTAAGGTAATTATTATAATGGTGAGCTGCAGCTCTGAACAGAAGGAGCACAGATGTGGAGACATAGCTCAGCCTCTTATTGAACTCTGTAACAAAGAGCAAGGTGCTTCATAATGCATTTGACCTTCAGCTTCTTCATTTATGTGGGTGAGGTGAGCATCTTTAACTAGCAGATGTGCACAAAGTAGAGTGCTTGGCACACTGTGGGCATTTGGTAAGTCGTGGGGTGTGGAAGTGCCACAGGTGCTACCCAGGCCTTGAGGGCAGTAGGACCATGACTACGGTGGGTGGGGAGGAGGGAGGGTGGGGGGGGAGGGGGGTCCTGAAGTCCTGTGTCAGATATGCAAGAGTAATCTTCTTGCGCTCTGCAAGAACACTGGAGGCCAGGGTAGCAAGGAGTTGTCACCGACAGATCTTAGTCCCTATCTCCTTGTCTTCACTAAATCGAATCTTTCCTTTATGATATTATTTATATTTATTTTTATCCTTTTACAATTTTAAAGGAGAAAGACTGCAGCTGACAGCTCAAGTGAGAAGCCCATTGCCATTTTTGCTGCCCCAGGTTCTGACACTTTAATGACCTCCACATCATCTGTTGCAAGCTCCTTGTTTAGGTAAAGAGCCTCCTGGCTTCCTTAGCCTCCTCCTGGCTTCCTTAGCCGCCTCCTGGCTTCCTTAGCCTCCTCCTGGCTTCCTTAGCCGCCTCCTGGCTTCCTTAGCCGCCTCCTGGCTTCCTTAGCCTCCTCCTGGCTTCCTTAGCTGCCTCCTCTTTTCAGCCTTCCATACATTTTCCTCTTGCCCTTCTATCAGCTTTCTGGTTTACTGTATTGGAGAAGCATTATGTTTTGAAGTCATAGTATATATAGATTAACAATATGTGAAATTTTTGAAGTTAAATAGAATTTATTTGGTCATTGCTGCCATTGGGGGGTAATATTTATTGAGCCTTACTCAGTGAGAGGCATCATGCATCTGATGTATGACATCAAATATAAGACTTTGATGGAAATACATGCCACTGGGGGAATCTCATAACGCAGGTTCTGGGTCATTCACTCTGAGGGTAGGGCCAAGAGACTACACTGCTAGTGAATTCCAGGGTGCTGCTGTTGTCTACAGTTGCACTTTGAACAGCAAGGTATGGTATCGTTTGATCCTGACCATGACAAATATTATTTTTATTTCCCAGATGGGGAAACTGAAGTTTAGAGGAATTAGATAATTTGTCCAAGGTCATGTTGCTAACAAGCTGCAGGGCTCACTCCTAAATCCAGGTTTGCCTCTTCTTCATTTACACAGGTGAGGGGTGCATCTCTAACTTGCAGATATGTATATATAATCTGGATCAGTAGAGTTTATATAATCTGGATTTTGGAAATAGCCCACAACACTTAAGGGGATCTGATACTACTTGAAACTGAATCCATAGTTTTAGTTTACTGTTTTGTTTTTTTATGAAACTTCTTTCCAATTTATCTTTATGAAGGATCTTATATTAAATGGTGATGGAGATATGTTGTGTTTTTTTATAAAGATATGTGAAGTTTAGGATGATTTACTTGCCAAAATTGTGGTCTAGGAAACATTGTGCTACTGATGGAATCAGCATTGAACGCAGAGGAAATTGCTGGGGAAGGGTGTGTGTGAGGTAAGGAGATCCTCCGGCTGATTTATTGTTTAACGCTGAGTGTACACAGTGTGCTATGCTGGTGACAGCCAAGTGAAAAAGGACACAGTCCCTGTCCTGAACAGATCATTCTCTTAAAAATAACATTCTGACCTGCTTATATGATTCATAATAGAAAGATGGAGCCACAGAAACCTAAAACTAAGAAAAAATTACCTCAACACATAGATTTTATTGTTTTATTTCCAAATTATAAAATAATACATCTCAAAAAAGTGGCCGAGGTACATTGACACAAAACAAGAGTTCAACGCAAATAATTTAAACCTTATTTTTGGGTGTGGGGGACAGTGCACAGTGGGAGTAAAAGGGGCAGGGTTAAGAGTCCCCAAGAGATTTAAGACACACCAATGCTCAGCTTCAGCCACAGCCAGTGCTCTGTGGCGCGATCCTACTTTCCCGAGGTCTCCCAAACCTTGCCGGGTGGAGCAGCCCCCCGGCCCGAGCTCTCTGCTCTCCAACTCCGTCGCGAGTTACCGACGCATGCGCAGTCTGGCCGTCGTGTCACAGGCCTATTTTTCTTGGGCAGGTTTTTGTGGGGTCAGCAAAAGGGCCAGAAGTGCAACGCTGAGCAGCCCAGCTCCAGAGCGGAGAGGGAAACCATCTCCGACAGAAAAACACCCCGCGTCGGAATGGGCTCGGGGATGGGGACGGTATCTGCCGGCGTCTCCGCACACAGCGTAGTTTTAAGGTGCCCTGACATCCTTAGGAACCACTAACTTGGAGGAGCAGGCGAGAAATTAATCTGTAGAGAATTTAGGGAATAGAACCGGAAGGGTGACGATCCCCAAAACTTCAGTACTGTGTTCTCCAGATGCTCTGTGCACTTCTCCCCATTTCCCTGGAGGATCCAGGTGCCCCAAATTAACCCGCTGCTCCACTGAGACCTCCGTCGGAAAAATGCATTGTTTAGGGGGCCCAGGGGAACCCCAGCGTATCACGTACACTGTTCAGACACACTCCCCCAAACCCAGCAAAGCGCCGAAGAGAAAAATCTCCGGACGCCTGGGGTTGTGCGAGTTCCGCAAACCTGCGGACCCGCGGGCGGGGGTGCGGGGGTGCCGGGGTCCCCTTTGTCCCGCCGCCCCCCGACTGCGCCGCCCTCTCCGCGCCCCGCCCCCGGCCGCAGACCCCGGGCCGGGCGGCCGGCTCGCTCCCACCGCGCCCCTGGGGACTCGCAGACTGCGGCGCGGGCGGCCGGGCGCGCCGGGCATGCTCAGTGGCCGGGCGCCGGGCTCGCGAGTCGGAAGCCTGTGCACGGCCGGCGAGCCGGCCGGGGCGCACGGAGAGCGCGCGGGACTCGCGGCGGCCCGGCCGCGGCGGAGCGGGACCGGGACCGGGACCCGGGTCGAGACAGGAGCCGAGTCCGGCGCTGCGGCCCCGACCTGCCGGCCGCGGCGCCTCCTTCCTCGAACCCGCGCGGGGAAGG